TAAGTTTATGTAAATGAAATCTGAAATCATTTCTCGTGCTTGATAATGTACCCTCGTCATCCACGTCGTTATACCGTTCGGTTTTTCCCCCTTTGAAAAGGCTAGAATAAGAATTCTTTGCATTACGGTAAAGGAAACTGATGAGAGACACTGTCCTTTTGAGTGAACGTATGTTTGATCGGTTTCCGCTCAGCCTCGCGTGTCCAACAGTATTGAAATAAAATTTAAGTAATTTGTACACGCCTCGTCCTGCTTTTATATTCCAACCACAGCGTCCGTCATAGGTAGAATCGCTTAGTCTTGATACGGTAGCGTATCGTCCAAATGAGCTCAGTCTTAGATTGAGGCCGTCCGTCCTAGATTACGGTTCGGTTTTGATACCTGACGTTCGCTGTCCGAAATGGCGATTTTCTTTGCTCGAGTCATGAATGCCTCTCATGTTCACTCGGTACGCTAAGCTGTGTACGGTGGATACGTGAACGCCTCGTCCTTATCAGTGATTCTGAGCGACACGTAAATAGCGTACGCTCCAAAATTAGTTAATTTGACGTTGGGTCCATTGCCTTGACACGTTTGTGTCTTATGATAATAAATCATACCGTTATGTTGGTTATATAAATAGTGTGGGTCAATGTCTTTAATCCTTTTCCTGTCGACCTAAGTCGTTTAATACTTAAAATTTCTCTAAGTATTATTCAAATCTTTTGGAATCAATTCATTTAACTTATTTAAATACTCTTAACGTCCGTTATGGGACAAGGGTTCGTTTCTTTTGTTCAGAAACGTGTAGTCAATGTACTGTAATACGTTCGTCCTTATTTATTAAAGGATGAACGTTCGTTATTTTATGGAAGTGGAACAAAGAATGAAAATGTGAATAATAGAAATGGTTAAGATGTGCGAACGTTATTTTAAGTGAAATATTGAAAGTGGAATTTGAACGAACGTTCCAAGGAGGAACGTCTATATGATCTGAATGTGTTAAGTTATGTAGTATGACCATGGTAAAGCTGCTGATGGCTGTTCATCCTGATATTCCGTGAGTGCTCGTCCTCATGTAGAGGGGAGTAGGTCATGAGTGGGAATGGCAGGAGGCCCTAGTCCTACTGAGTACTTTGGACTGATAGGGTTAACCTCGGGTGGCAGCTGTTGAGTGTTTCCCAGTTACCACACCACCCGGGTGCAAGAACGCCTGTAGATACATGGCTTCATACAGTCCGGACAGTCGTTAATTATGAGAGTTTGAATGAGTTATTATATGCTTGGATATATACCTATTGCTGTATGAAATGTATGATTGATTGTGTATGTTGAAATATGTTGATTGTATGAATTAAATTACCTAAGCTTACCCTTGCAATTCCTTGTGTTGTCTACTGGTTATGTGCGTCCGTCTTGTCAATGCAATGATCATCCGTTGTGGATGTGAGCAGATGGAGAGGTGCCACTTGAAGAGATGCTAGAAGAAGAAAATTTGGAGGATGTCAACCTGGTAGAAGTTGAAGTTAAAGCTGAGCAGTAGAGCGCTCATCCAGTTGTAGCTATTAGTGTTTCTGTATTTTGGGACGTTCGGTTTATTAGTTTTGGAGAGCCGTTCGTCCAGAACTTGGAATTGTGTATATAGATTTTGATTTCCCGTATATTTTGTACGTTCGGCTTTTAATTAGCTGATTTTAGTTAAGACTGCACTGTTTAACTCTGTAAATGTGATTAGTTCTAATTAATGGTAATTACTATTTATTGGGATGTTACCGTCAGCTTTAAAAAACAATATAAATTATTTTTCTAAATCATTTTTAGAATTTAAAAAGTTTCAGAAATTAATTCTAAAAATAACGGTTTGAGCTTTTCTTTTATCAACTTTATTAATATTATTGTTTATGTGACACACAGAAGATATGTTCTCTATTTTTATGTTAGATTATTGAATTCGATATAAAAAAACATTTATTAGTAGACATGGTAGTGTTTTTACATAAACAGTTATTAAATCACTACTATTTACCAAAAAAATATTATTTCTATAGACAATAAAGCTGGTTAGGGAGTAAGAAAATGCCAAAATTATATTCTGAACTTCTATCTGTCCAAAGGATCATGGATTTTATTAAGAGGGTGACAATGATGTTCTCAAATTCCATTTCACCTGCTAATCTCTTTATTTTTCTTCCAAAACCAAACAAAACATTACTTATTATAATAGTAATAATAAAAAAGATACGGTCTACTGCATGAAAAATTGGCTATATTAATGTAATTGACTCTAATGATTGTGATATAAATATGTATCACTTCAAAATCATTCCACGTATTCATCAATTCCATGATTCGTTTCTTGTTAATAATCATCAACCCAAAAATTCGAAAAGCATCCGTGCTGAGACCAAAATTCTTCTTGCTTTCTCCCAAAAATTGCATGCAAAGCTGTGCAAAGCGCAGACTGCAGTAACTGCGTTTCTACGGCTGCAAGAGTTGAAAAAAAAAAGTGAAGAAAGGAGAGGTATGACAAATATAAGTTTGCTGTACTTATAAATATACATAAGTCTGAATGTAAAAGATTTTCCTTTGAAAGTACAGAGGCATGTAAAGTAGTTTTTTTGAAACCATGTTTTCATAAAGAGCGAACAGTTTAGAGAAGGGAACAACTGTGAGCGGTGAGTGTTTGATAAAATGCATGTGAGAGAAAATTTATATATATATATATATATATATATTTAATTGTGGTATTTTTCTTGTCTTGGCTGTGGTGTCCCCTCCCTACCAGTGGGGGAAGCAATGGAGAGTGGAAAGTGGAGGTAGATAAAAAGACGAGAGAAAGTGATAAAAGTAAAAATGCGTCAACGAAAGGATGTGTGAAGTGAAAATGGGAAAAAGTTGTCCTTACTAGGCAATGCCTGGCAAAGGTGACTGTTGTCTCAAATCAGGAACAGAGAGAGGGTAAAGTCAAAATTAAATTCATTTATTATAGGAAGTTGATTGAGACCATCACCTTGTCCTTCGCCCTTTCCCTTCCCTTCTACCCTCTTTTGTTTTCTTTTCACCCACTCCTCCTTCTCCCTTTGTGTCTTTCTTTCTTTCCATTTAACGCTCCTTTTTTAAGGGAATCTTTCTCTGCATCCACATGTACCATCCTGATTTCACGCTTTTTTTAAGGTCTATGCACTATATAGACTGCCTCATCCCCAACGCTATGATATATGTAAACTAATATTAAATGCCATGCTGCTACCCAGCCATAACAATTCATCTTTTATTTTATCAACCAAAAACATAAAATGCTTAATTTCTACTTTGTAAATTCGACGTCGCATTATAATTGTCGCATTATTAAAAACTGGTACGAACTTTGCAAATGAGTTTTTCTTATCCATGCAATGCAACATTAATAACGCACTCCCACTCACTCTCTTTCGCTGGCCATTTGTCGTTCAATTTCATTCTGGTGCGAGCATTAAGAGTTTCTGGGGCCTGCTGGGTACCTTCATTCCTCCGCTAGCCACCCTTATCAAAAGCAACTTGGAGCATGGACGTTAATGTTAATGTTCGTTCACAAAGAGGTGGCAACAGAGAGACCAGCCCAGACCGTGCCAAAATATGCAGGTTGAAGCATAAAGTGAAACCATCCAGAAAAGTTCAAGTCGTGTACTACCTCTCCCGAAACGGCCTTTTGGAGCACCCCCATTTCATGGAGGTCACCCTTTTGCCTAATCAACCTCTCCGTTTAAAAGGTACACGCATGCATCAACACAAAAAAGGAAAACTTCCTGGTTAACTTTTTTTTTATCTTATATGGCTACACTGTTCTTTATTTTCTTGCACTACCATAACTTGATTCGCTCGTTTGGTTGTTTACATTTGTTTCTATAAAGATGTCTTCGATCGGCTCATGGCTCTCCGTGGGAGTGGCATGCCTTTGCAATATTCATGGTCTAGTAAAAGGTATAGCCTTGCATTGAATCGATTTGATTCTCGTTCTACAAACACACGTTCCGATAAAAGGTTACTTTTTAATTTGGCAAATTCAGAAACTACAAGAGCGGTTATGTGTGGTACGACTTGGCTCTGAAGGATATAATACATCCCGCAGAAGGAGGCGAATACGTGCTCAAAGGATCTGAGCTCGTCGAAGGATGCTCTGGTAATTAATAGTCTCTTTTTTTTCATTTAATTTGTCTGTGTTGAAGATTGATTATAACAGTTTTGACTGGATATTTATCGACGGTTCAGAGAGGTTCAATGTGAGCAACAAACAGGGAATCCATCAGCAGGGAGATGGAAACTACAGCTATAGTTACGATTCAAGGAGCAAGGCGTTGGGTGTGTGCAACAAGCCGCAGCAGAAGGAGCGTGAGGAGTACGAGGATTACGAGGAGGGAGAGAAAACAAGCTACACGAGTTCCACCACTACCCCACACTCGCGTTGCTCCAGAGGCGTGTCCACGGAGGAACTGGTTTACGAAGAGGAGAATAACAACGGGAACACAACGAAGGTGGGTGTTGGTGCGAAAACAAAGAACGACAATGATAAGAATTTGGCAGGCGGTGAGGGTGACGCGCGGAGTGAGAAGGTGAAGCGGAGGGAGGATGGGGATGGGTCTGTATCGAGCCGTTACTCCGTTCTGCTGCAACTGATAGCGTGTGGGAGCGCAGGGACGGAGTTGAAGGGGAAGCAGGGGCCGCGGCTGAGCGATGTGGGGACCAAAGAGAGGGAAAGGGAGAAGAAGAGTTTGTTTTGGGAAGAGGGTGATAGTGAGATAGTGAATTGCGTGTCGGAGAATCCGAGGATGTTGGGGAATTTGCAGGCAGATGAGAAGGAGTACTTCAGTGGAAGCTTGGTAGAGTCAATGAAAGCGAACCGAGTAGCGTTCCAGGATGAGCCTGTGCTGAAGAAGTCCAATTCCTACAACGAAGAAAGGTTTGGTTTTTACTTTGCTTTAGTTTTGTTTAATTTTAATTAATGAACTTATTTGGTCATTGTTGTTTGCAGGAGAAGTAGGCTTGGGATGGAAGAGGTGAAGGCGAAAGTGGTGGTGGAGGAGGAGGAGGAGAGGGTGGTGAAGGGTGGAGGAGTGAAAGAGAAATGCATCCCTCTGATGAAATCTCCGAAACAGAATAGTGGTAGGAAATGATGTGGTGACATGAATCTATATCGTTAAGTAGAGCATTTAATTAGGGATTAAGGGCTGATTGCCTGCATCATTAATTTGTTTTCACTTTTTAATTCCCTCTAATCACTGTTCTTCTGCTACCAACTGTTGCTGCATATTATTAGGCTCACACATAAAATAATAATGTCGTAGAAAGTAGAAACCATAAACACGTTGGTCTTTCACCTCGTATCACCCACACCATCACCCTGACATCAACTTTTATGCTTTCTTCGATAAGGAAAGGGAAAGAAATAGGATTTTTAAAATCCAGCTTTTATTATTTATATATAGATAGATATAATATTTGGAGTGGGGATGAAACTCCACTTTCCATTATTCAACTCTTTTCCTTTATATTTTGTTGACGTCTTTGAAACTTGTAAGAGTGACGTTGCAGTGTAAAAGTGGTAATTGTGAATATGCTATACAGAAGTTTTTCCTTTTTTTTTCCTCAAGAAACCATTTGCCAAAAGATTATGAAACCAAACAATTTTCAAATTTAATTACAGAAACGTACTTTTTCTTAAAATTGTCAAAATTCAACTTTTACGCCAACGAATTCTGATTTAAAAAGAGTAAATTCTATAAAAAATAAACTATTTTTATTTATATAAAATTGATAGTTTATTTATGATTAAATTTCAATTAATTGGTTTTAAAAGTCTGATACTCTATGCTTTAATTCATTAGAAAATCATTAATAATTTACTAGTAAATTAGTACGTTGAATGTCGGTTTGTGTGTCTTTATTTTTCAGTTTTTCTTTTTTGTAAATTCAACGGTCTTAATTTTTAAATTATAATATATAGGAATGCAAAAATATGAAACGTAACATGAAATGAAAATTGAAACACTGTGATGATTAATTTAATAACTTGTACTTTTTACATTTTTTTTTTGAAAAAAAACTTAATTTTAGTTTTATTAAAGTAATTGGTTAAAAGAATTTCTTAAATAAGCTTTTTTCTTGTGATGGGTAGAGTGTATTTTATTTTGTTGTACATTTGATTTTAAATTGAAGTATTCGTATCATTAAACTTAGATATATGAAAACTTGTTCTGCTTTGTAATCTTAATTAACTTACAAAGTCAAATTTTTGGAACTTTGCATAATTGTTTATATTTTATTTAGTTTAATTGTGATTTTTTTTATAAATTACACCTTTTTTAATTTAAAATTTTTCTTATTCGAAATTTATATTATTTTGTTGAAAGTCTCACATTAATTAAAAATAAAATCAGTTTAAAATATATAAATTAATGTAAATTGTATCTTATAAACTAATTCCTTATAATTGAATTAAGTTTAAAGTTCAGATGTATCACTGTCAAAATCAAATAATAACGTGTGAATATTAGTTTAGATGCAAAATTAAAAAAGGTGTAGTTAATTTTAATCTACACGAGCATCTTCAAATTATTAAGGAGGATATCAAACTGGCTTACAAGCTAAAAATATTAATTTATCTAATAGTGGTAGATTGTCCTGACCCGGGTTGACACATATTTTTTTGTAATGTATAAGATGAAAAATAATTTTGTGTGGTTGTAATGAGTTTTAATGTAGTTAATTTTGTGGGAGAGGGTGTCTGAAATCAAAAGTGAGTTTGTAGGATTCAAGAATAGTGTATCAAACTTTGATGGTTTAAAAGTATCAAAGTGAGTTGGAAGTGTTGAAGACACCACCTATGTTTTCTTCTTTTCATAATTATGTTGTCATGTAATTAAGTACCTTATGACAAAACACAGCTGGAGAATGATAGATTAATTGTGTTATTTTGTCTTTTGTATCTTCTAATGATGGTTCTTTTCAATGAAACATCATCTCTTGATTAAAAGACTTGGTGATCTCCTTGTCATGGTGAATGATGACATATACAGAAGAAGTTATAATTTTGGTACATATAGAAGATATAAGGTAAAAATAATTTCAAAAGACTTTAATGTGTAAGCAAAATAGAGTATACTTGTAGCAATTAATAGTTGACAGGGATTTTAAAGTTTGATCCAATTTTTTATGGAGTTAAAAATATGCGAGGTGGGTACATAAATGTTAAATAATAAAATAATAATTGAAATAAGTGAAAAACATATTTCTCAATATTAATATATAGAGTAATTTATATACATAAAAGAGAAGTTAAAATAATAAAAAAAAAGAAAGTAACATGTGTTGGGTGTAGTGTTTCTTTCAAGTTGTCTTTTTTACTTTTTTTTGTTATTTAATTGATATGTATTTTGATGTTTAAGTTAATTCAATATCCAAATAATTTAATAATGAATGATGTGATAAATGTGCCTTAAAAATTTTAATTAACATATATTCATATATTTCATTTGTATTTATAAGTTTTTTTATAAACTTTTGATTATAATAGATCTAATTACGATCAAGTATTTATATGTTACCATACTTTTTTTGCCATATCATTACACAGTTAATTATGTTTCTATAAAATTAATGGAATAAATTTGATTGATGTACATGTAAATAAAGTTAACATTCTTTTAAAAGTGGAGCTGAATAAACACGCTACACAGGATCAATTAAACAATTAAACTTAAAAGAATAAACAACTAAACTTAAAAAAATAAACAAACTAAATATTATTTAAAAAATTTAGAAATAAATGGTAAAAGTAAGGAAGGGAACTCATTGTCCATTCTTAATCATGAAAAAAAAATAATTGTGAAAGAAAATTTAAATGCAAAATTAAAGCCGGAATATAGAGTGTATGATTAATTGTCGTTCCTAACTGAAAGAGAAAAAAAGGACTAAAATTTAAAGAATTAAAAATATATTATTTAATTTTAAATATTACACTTTTGAAACTAATTAACTAAAATGTTATCATAAATGTATTAGTAATTTAATTTTTATTAATCAAATGTTATTCAAAAAGAGTCCGTATTCCGTTATCAAGAACCGAATTTTGACCTGCTTCACAAACTCTTCCTGGTTCTTTAATTAAATTTCAGAGAGTTTTGTGTTTGTAAATTTTTAGCAGATGGTTTTCTGGGAAAAGTTTCCATTTTTTCATCTGTAATTTACTTATCGATAAATTATTTAAATGTTTAAATAGCTTCATAATATTTTAATTATTTTGATAGAATCAATTTAACATAATAAATTTTTACGATTACTGATTTTATTCAATGATATAGTACATGAATGACAAATACTCATCATGGTAAAGTATCTTACATACACAAGACAAGACGAATTATACATATAACTCTTGCCTCCACGATTTAAATTTAAAGATTTCTTTTGCTGAACAAATTTTTAAAATATAAATGTTCTGTACGGTCTCCCTGCACTCTCATGCATCGACCGGCACTGTTCGGTATCCATGCTCTATCGCTTATCGAATACCGGATTAGGCAGTCTTCAGACAAGGCCAACCAAACGGCTCATTATTAGGCCGACCGTCCATAAGCCGCCCACCTACCAGGCTGATCGGCCACCTAGGCCGAGCCGACCACACAATTAGATTATAAACGATAATTACTCATTAAGTCCCTGATGAAGGTTAAGGTGTGATTGGGTCGTCATTAGACCGGTAAAAGGTAAAAACACATTACAACTAGTATAAATAAAGGTCTCAGGTATGACTTTAGGGATACGATGCACTATATACATGCATTACTTACCACTCGGTTACATTACTAACTTGAGCGTCGTAGTGCCTTTGACAGGTGCCCGCCCGCCCGACTTGGAGAAAGAGGAGGACAACCACCTGGAGTCCATGGAGAAACATCTGATCGGTCTTCAACCTAGTGCATGGAGCAGCGTCCGTCCGCCTTGAGCCTCGCCCGTTCGATCTTCAATAATGTTTGGCCCGTTCGGTCTGGAAGGTTCGCCTAGTCTTCAAGGTCCGTCCGACCATCCACACAATCTTGAGTGTCTTGAGTATAGGACATCAACCCTATATCCGAAACATTTTGGCGCCCACTGTGGGGTTGAGCAAGTATTCCCCATTGTAGACATAAGGAACCAATAAGTGGTGCTTTAAAGAACCTCAAATGCTCAGCGTTCGACCTCGACCTCCCGGCCATCCGGCCTCAATCCTTCGCCATTTGGCCTCCATTACTCGGCCATTCGGTCTCACAGGAACTCGACCGTCCGACCTCACAGGTATTCGGCCAGTCAGCCTCAACTGCTCGGCCGTCCATGGCCTCACATGTACTTAACCAAAATTTGGCATCAAACGTTCGGCCCTTCGGCCTCAACTGCTCGGCCGTCCATGGTCTCACAAGTACTTAGCCAAAATTTGGCATCAACCATTCGGCCATTCAACCTCAGTTGTTCGGTTGTCCATGACCTCACAGGTACTTAGCCAAAATTTGGCATCAACCATTTGGCCGTCCATGGCCTCACAGGTACTTAGCCAAAATTTGGCATCAAACATTCGGCCCTTCGACGTCAACTGCTCGGTCGTCCATGGCCTCACAAGTACTTAGCCAAAATTTGGCATCAAACATTCGGCCATTTGGCCTCAATTGCTCGGTCGTCCATGGCCTCACAGGAGCGAGTTCTTTAGTGAACCATCAACTTAACCGGGCGGTGAACGGCGAGTTCATAAAGAACCACAACCGCCCGGAGCCAAAGGAGCGAGTTCTTTAGTGAACCGTAAACTTAACCGGGCAGTGAATGGCGAGTTCATAAAGAACCACTGTCGCTCGGAGCCAAAGGAGCGAGTTCTTTAGTGAACCGTGAACTTAACCGCGCGGTGAACAGCGATTTCATAAAGAACCACTGCCGCCCGACTCCAGATAAAAGCCACATTGATGGACGACGAGTTCCTAAAGGATCCACTGTCAATTTGGCCAGGCGGTGAACGTCGAGTTCATTACAGAACCACTGCCACCCGATTCCAGATAAAACCCAAGTTGGGGAACGACACGTTCAGCAGATGAACCAGCGTCACCATTCGACTCACATAGGCCTCAACTTTTCAGTCTCAGATGGCCTAACTCGTTCGACCTTTCAGTACCCTCAATTTCTCGGCCTCCTAAGGCTCTAATCGTTCGACCTTGCATTGGCCTCAACTCCTCGGCCTCACGTGGCCTCAACCGTTCGGCCATACCTTAGTCTCGGGTACTTCTCAAACCATGTTTCACAGGTAGCCTATCCCGACTCGATCGGCAAAGGGCACGACCCGCTTCGGTCTTCCGGCCAGTCATCTTAATCAAGAACAAAGAAGACAGACAAAAGCCAACCAGAGAACCCGCCCTTTCCGGGAAGGCCATGTACAGAACCCCTTCG